TATTTCAGAGTTATAGCATACTTCTACAAATGACTATACCTGAACACGCTACATATTAATTATTTACATCTATACCATCAACATCTAAACACATAAATCAAGCTAAAGATAGTTTTTTCATAACCCACTAAATGTATCTACATATTATCGCCTATTATTTCTTTTTAATATAAGAAATATTTTTTTTTACATAATAACTAAAACCTTAATACTACGTAGGGGACAATGCATAATTGATACGTTGTCTCCGTAAGATAAGATTATGTATCTACTCTTGTCCTTATGAATATGACGATACAACAATATATGCATATACATAGCAAGGTATTGTTTGTAACTGGATTTAGGTACTACTAAATCTACTTACAATTTAGTCCCTGTAGAGGCACTTATTTTTAAATTTCAGTGTGTTATTTGATTTGCGCAGTTCATCAAATATAAATAAATTCTACGTATAATTTTAAGAAGAAGCTTTTGTGTACTTATCATATCACTCAAAGATGGAGATTACAATTGAATGAGAACTACAACATGAATAAATAACATTCTCTTATTCATGATCCTACCTTAGAGAATGCTGGATAGGCACTGTAATACATTTTGTTCATACATTGTGATGGTACGAGTATGTATAAATTATGTCTACATTAGATGATCTTGTAGACTGTTTATTAATAGATTGTATAAGTTACAACAGAATGGTTGTCTACGTACCACAAATATTGTAGGTATAAGAATTGTATTATGCTGTATACATCTAGTCCAACTTGGTAAAATATTAGTTAGAAATCTCGCAATAATATAATACACTTATTAAATATAAGACAATTATTAACAGAAAATAACAATTATTATTAAATTAATTAAGTTAATATGACCCGCACCCATCGATTTCTAATTACAATAAAATATTTGTAATCAGTTCAGTTGTTATAAGATTAAATAAAAACTACTATTTGTTGCTATGTTTACTTATTGTGACCTTGAATCATCTTTGTCTACGGATTACGCAAAATGAAAAGAAGATCAAATAAAAATAAATAATGATATTGTGTATCATTCATTATAGAGCCGTCCTTATAATTTATCGCATAAAAGTGCCAAGTCCTGCATTCCATTGTTTAATTACAATTTGCGTAATTAATTTTAAAGAACGTAAAATTTAGCATACTCACCTTTTATATGTACCTGTTTTAATAAATCATTATTGTTTCTAAATTTATCTATAACAATAGATTCATTAGATGATATATCGATGAAATACAAACGTATATTAAATAAGCCTAATAAATTGCTTTTCGGGAATTCCGAAATAAGTTAATAAATTGCCATTCCGGAATTGTACGGAAGTTATTGGAAATCATTCCATAATTCTAATTATTCATTGCTCTCCGTATGGCAGCAAAATAAAATATGCTTAGGGAAAATAGCCCTGACGCGCTATAAGCACGAGACTACACAAAATAAACCCTACACCTGACCTACCTATCTACCCAAAAATTTGAAAAATAATACCGACATTTATTTTATTTATTTATTTAATTCGGATTACATCCATATTATGTTAGTAGACGACTTATAAACTATGTTAATAAATTATAATATATATAGATATGCTCTCAGTTCATTTAATATATTTGTGTCGACGTCCAGAAGCCCTAAGTACGCAGCAGTACAAGAGCCTTTGGAGCGTCCAATCTGACATATTTGCAATAGTCGTTAGGAGGCTGTTAGCGCTCCCCCGAATTCTAAACATGTGATGCAGCTTTTTGCATATTATGTCTTGAAAACAATTTATTTTAGAGACTTTATGTTGACTCAATATTTATTTAGTGGCAAATATTTTTTTTGTTTTCATTTCATTAATTCATACTGATAATAACTCTTATTTCTAAATCCATACTTTACCCAACCAACTCTAGATATTTATTAAATAAATATATAAGCCACATTTGGAGATATACATAACGGTGCGAGTTGCGATCACGTGGCATGATAAATGAGAGAATTGATCATTTAGGTTTATACATTGCGCCCCTTTTGTCTAGTTATGCCTCGTAATGGAAGAAGGACATGACATATTCCTGTCTCAGTTCTCTTTTGTTCAATACAAGCTTTGAGTGTCATATAGAAAAGATTATTATTGTAATAATAACATCCTGGACAATTCACACATCCAGTCATCTAGTCCCAAGCTAAGCAGAGCCTGTGGTATGGATACTAGACCATTGAAATAAAAATATAGATCCTTTTTTTGTAAATACATCCATGATGTACATAGAAAACACAATAAGTGGTTGTTTTGTTATCAGTCTGGGATACTCATCAATACCAATATTTGTATATTGGTACCATTTGAGGAAACGAAACCGCAAGCAGCGGTAGTACCACTGAGGTCGTCAATATTAAGTAATAAGTATGTACTTAGCATACATATTCTAGGTAAATTACATATTAAAAACTAATATTTTATGTTTTATAAACCTTTTTTCTGGCTTACAATTGAAACTTTACATTAACGGGATATTTACGTATCGGGATCTGCTAAGTAATATCATAACTATGAACATCTTGATAAACACATTTATGTGATACGAGAAAATTTACAATTATGTCAATTTTTCAAAATAACTTTTACAAATTATAATACGGTAAAAGTTATTTTGAACACGTAATGTAATACTATTTAATATTATAGTGCCCATGCCCATGCCCATATTCTATACACAATACTTAATATAGTCTTGAAGTAGCTGTTAATAGAATAATTAAACATTGATAGAATTTGGTAAACACCTTTACTTCCAAAATCACATCAGTCAGTAATTAGCCAAATGTCAAATCTATAAAAAATGTTACACATTATTAAGCGACCGAACATACTCATTTAGCTGCACAAGTAAGAAGAAATATAAATTATTGTCGAATCTACCGTCCAATCGACAGCATCGTATGATTGCGTCTAAAGATTATTATAATGAAAATGCTTACATAAGTGCCACTTATGACAATCGCTTTTGTCAAATTATCGTATATATTATCGAATTTCGTAGCGGAAATCATAACGTAGACAAGAAAGAGCGCTTCAGAAAGTAAAATGGATTATATTTTTAAGTTCAGGCGAATAGACGTTTATCACAAATTTTGTCAGCAAAATATATTTGGTAAACTTATTGTTTAGTATTGGTTATCAAGTATTTATAACTGGTCCTAGATTTTAAAATCATCGAATGTTGTCGAAATCTCAAATGCTTAGTTTATATGTACTAATACAGAGTCAGGTTCTCCATATATAGAGTACTAACGTGGAAAAATAAATAATGTTTGCTATTTGATATACATACGAATTTGTATAACAAACAGAAAACATGATTTATTTTTGCATATTGTGCTACTGTAGATGGAGGTTGTTACAATTAATTAGATAAAAGACTAATCTTTTATAATTCCATAATAATAATTCGTCTTCTATAAAAGGATTAATAGATAACTAAAAAAATATCTAGATTTCAAAACCATGCTTACCACAGTATTAATACACTTAAATGTAATATATATGACAATACGTATTTTTAATTATAATCTAAAAGTTTATCCAATTCACACTATCCAGAATATTGATTATAAGCGAACGTAGCTGTTCACGTCCTTAACTTCACGATAATTTATCGTACGCCGCGTCGTTACACTTGTACGGCCGATTTCAACCACACACGAAAATTGATTACAATCGTAATTCACTCTAGCGTGAACTGACTGATTGAGTCTTATGCTTTCGTTTGTCTAATACACACATCTACATCTGTTTGAGTCTTTGATCGACTACAATACTAGAACGTCGCCAAGCCTCTCTTTTTTACTCTTTTATTTAATGTTGTTTATCAGTTCTTTTTGAAAACAAAAAAATAAATGAACATTAAAGTTGGAAATAATTACTTCATAATATCTGAAATAATCAACTAAAACGTAGTTCTGATTGTACTTACATCCAAAATTAAAAACTTTATCACATTTATTTAACTATCTATCTATCCCAATTATAACTATATTTATTCAAATCAGAGATAACAAATTTCTTTTTAATATTCCAACAATTAAAATTACATCTAAAAAATCTTAAGAGTTAAAAGCCAACGCTTACCTTCCTTTTGAGAAAGGAAGGATATCATTACCTTTGAACCTGTTCTTACCAATTTTTATAGGGATAAAATCCCTTCTTTATTGACTTAAGACCAATAGAAAGGTTAATTAATTCACTCTCTCAATAAAGTTTACCTACCAAATTAGTTAATCAATGTCAATATTATACCCTTTCAACAATTATTAAAATTCATAGTACATTTTCGTTCAGCCCAAAGATTAAACACGATGGAACCTATTAAGGGTCGTGACCACCCCTTCAATTTGTTATTATACTGCAGTAATGTTATAACGGGTAACTTGATATTATTAAAATGAATTCTGTATAACTCAAATACAAGAATAGTTTCTGTCAAATCTGTAATAAAAATATTTTCTACACAACTGATCTGGAGCTAAGGTTGGATTTATATTTTAATCTATATGTAAAAGCTCTACCAAAGCTATTTTGTATATCGCTGTCATATTACCATTTAAAAGCTAAGGTTTAAGGTATATCATCTATTTGAAGGGAGGGGAACTTTTGAAAAGAATATAATATGCAAGGAAGCAGATTTACAACAGAAGTGTGTAAAAACCTATATATGAAACATTTATTATTACTAATTATCTTATCTGTGTTATTACTAATGACCTCGATGGTAGTAGTTCTATCCTCACGTGGTACAACATACATATAAACCTAGTTAGTGATTACATTAGAGTTAAGATTAATGACTTACAGAATATCGAATTTATAACTTCATAAATACTATTAAATATATTTATATACATTTTACAAGTACTATTAAACTATCATACTATTTTTATAGTATCTAAATTCTATTTTTTTTCATTACAGTTATTATTGTTTATTACAGTTAATAACAGAGATCAACGTGCAGCTAGCTCTGTTCCGCGATCTGCTGATCCACATCGGGCAGCCACACGACTGTCCAGAGCTTCGAGAGCGCGTGCGCAGATTACGTCGCGCATGCGTTGAAGCCACCAAACAGACCAGCCAGTTAGTTCTTCCCAATTGTAAAAAGTAAGTTTCTTACATCTATAAAATCTGCCAATAACATGTTTTTTATACATATAACATTTGAGTGCACCAGTTTAGGTAATAAGAATACCACCATACTATTGATCACTATTTGCATATGGTTAATCAAAAGTTATTTTTCCATAAAACCATGTTCAGACTGAATCAGTAAACTGTGCATGTACTTAAGGGGTTTAAATAAATTAGGGGATCATTTTTTTTATGTAAATTCGTCAATTTTGAAGCTAGAAGCTTGAAACTTATTTTTGAGGCTGTTGATTAAATATAAATAAATATGACATTCTAAGTTTCTAAAAAATTTACCCTTAAAATAGAATAGGAGACGAAAGTTTTTATGTAAAGTCGTCATTTTTGAAGATAGAAACTGATTTTTGAGGCTGTTGATTAAATATAAATGAATATGACATTCAAAGTTTGTAAAAATTACCCTTAAGGGGGTAAAATAAAATAAGGGAAGGAAGGTTTTTATGTAAACTCGTCATTATTGAAGTTAGAACGATAAAACCTTTTTATTGGCTTTTTGAGTTAGTTTATTAAATACCTTACTAATATTATAACTGTCATAGTAACTCTGTATGTCTGTCAGTCTCACTTACACGCTAAAACTACTTAACAGATTTAAGTGAAATTTGGTACACAGTTAGTCTAGATCTTGAGAAAGTACATAGGATACTTTTGAATGCGAAAAAAGGGTTGTAAGGGGGTTGAAATGGTAGATGCAAGATTGTACGTAAGAATCATAATTTTTAAAGGTAGAAACTTATATTTTAGGTTGGTGATTAAATATGGGTAAATATGATATTCAGAGTTTTTAAAATTTTACCCTTATGAGGGTAAAATAAAATAGGGAATAAATGATTTTAGGTAAATTCGTCATTTTTTAAGTCAGAAGCTTGAAATTTATTTTTGAGGCTGTTGATTAAATATCAATAAAGAAAAATGGGTTGTAAAGAATTTAAAGGAGAGTTAAATGTTTATATGGAAATGTTGTCATTTTTGAAGCTAGAAGTTTGAAGTTTAATTTTTAGCCTATTTATTCAATATATATTTAGAAAAAGAGTTAGAAGGGGTTCAAAGAGTTATGTATGGAAGTGTCGTCATTTTTGAAGCATTGATGAAACTTTTTCATTTGAGTTTTATTGGGTTAGGTCTATAAATATTTTTTTCATTATTTCGTCTAAGTCACTAATTTACGCGGACGAAGTCGCGGGTATAGCTAGTAGCTATATATTTAACTTCAAAACCTGCCAGATTCTGCTAACATACAGAATATTTGCGGAGTCTAAAGTATATATACTACATATATACATAGTAGAGTACATTTCAAATATAAGAATTTTCTGACCGAATTTTTTTGCAAATATGTGGCCGGCCTGAAAGTTTACAATGGATTCGAACGGAACAAAAAGTATTTACGAGCTCTAAAAGCAATCCTCGCCCTTGGGGAGCGGATCTGTGTCTAGAGTTAAATTAATGCTCTCCCACAACTGGATAAATAGCCCCCTGCTTTTAATACAAAACAAAACATACATAATTCAAATGGGCATTCGTTCCTAGTATTTCGATACCGTGAATGACTAATATAAATATTTACTTTTACCCGGGCCCACATGTAAAACCAGAAACCTCCACGACGTTACACGGGTCCGTAGTTTGATTGGGTCCTATGAATTACTTTACATAAAATAATTTACAATTGGTTTCTTGACAATATAACGTAAATACGTATTCATTTTATCTATACACAGACGACCAGCACTCTCAATTAACGCTATATAATAAATCGTTTCGAAAGTTTGTCTAAGGAATCCTAAAATGCGAATAAGAAACAGAAACATATTGTGACAGAAAACATAACCATCAACTTCATTCATAGACATTGAATACATAAACTTGCATGACGAGTATATCAATGAGTCTGACCACGCATGTTGTTTTACAATACACGAAAATAAAAAATACAGCAAGATCACGTGGGCATTTATTTTAGCTTTAGTTTTTTTATACCGCAATGGTGGCAAACAAGCATACGGCCCATCTCACGGTAAGAGGTTATTGTAATGACGCCTGATATACAGTTCTAAGTCTACTAAGACTTAGAAATGTACTAAGAGTGTTAGGTTTAGATTGGGATAGGTACTGTTATAAAGTGCCATACTTACATATATAAAAATATAAGATACAATTGATATATAACAATACCACGTTATGACGTGGTATTGTTATATTTGTGTAGCTATAAATGTGCTTAATTTGCTATTAAACATATGAGATATGTAAAATATTAAATATACTTACAAACAATGTCTCTGCTCCAAAGGTATCAATATTTTTTAGGTTTGAATTTATTACGAGCTAGATAAAAAAAAATTTTTGAACCTTAGCCTTGCATTAGCATATTTTTTGCCGACATAATAAGACATCATAATTTGAATTATACTTTATAAATAACATTCGTATACAAAGGTCTTCTTGTAAATTTACATTGAAATATTTATGACAGCGCCTAACCGAGCCGTTACAAATTGTGTAGGATCGCGTTGTGAGCTTTTATGTAAACCCGAGTAGATGCCCTCTACCCAATTATTTGCATTTCAAAAGGCAAACCAGTCAAGTCGGAAGTCAATCTGAAAATTCCGAAAGAGAACTAATTACGACATAAAAGTAGGTATTCATGTATATATGTAGCATGTCCCATCGAAGTATTTGTAGGTATCTGAAACTAATAAATCACAGAAGGAATTTTCACAAAGCTAGCCTAACTAAATTAAATGTATAATAATGGAATTCTTGATTAAATTTGCATTTACAAAGCTATTAATAACACGTTGCAATTTATGTTATTCCATTGAAAACCAAGTTTGTAATTCAAGAAGCTCTTGAACTGTGTTTGTGATGTGCATTCTGCCATGCTCGTACTACATGCACGACTGCACGCAATAACGATTATTTGTAGTTGTGTGCAACTACTGATTCAAATATCATTAGCAGTAATATAACACGATAAATTGTATTTACTGTGTCATACTGGTTATATATTTAACAAACATTATTTATTAACCAACTTCAAAAAAGGAGGAGATTCTACGTTTATATCTTTCTTGTCAATATCTTTGTCAATAGTGGATAGATTAATCGCGGCAGAAGTACTAGTTAATATATTTATATATATTTATAATCCAAAAAATGTGATAATAAACACAATAGAGAAACAAATAAAATCAATAAAAAAAAACAAATAGTGGATGGATTTAGGAAATTATTTTTTGTTTAGAATGGTACACTCCAGAGATGGTCCAATTCCCTGTCCCTGACTGAGCAAGAGGCAGATAGGAAGCTGCCTCTTGCTTTGTCAGATTTTATAAATAAGTTGTTATATACATATAATAATATGTATATATAAATAAAAACGAATAAACCAACGGCTTTTCTTAATCAATAACATTTTTTATCCTTTTCGCGCAGATTCACCGAAACCGAATTAATTATAAGAACGTGTTAAAGCGTAATATATTGCCAGATAATATAAATAACCATAATTGAACCATCATTTAATGAATCACCATTTAATGAACAAATACACAAAAAGGTTATGTCTGTGATTATTTAATTTATCAAGTCAGTAGTCAAATCCACACGCACTATTGGGATCTTGCAGGGATTAATTTATGCAAATTGACAACCAAAAGCAATTACCAACAATTACTCCAATCCAGACATACATTGTCCATGATAAACGATTCATGGCCCCTCCCTTACAAATTAACAATACGAACTGTGAAATCTGATTTTATAAACGTATTTCATGCGACTATATTATGCCAAATAAAATATAATTATTTATTTATTCTTTTGCACACAAAAATGCGGAGCACAAGGAATAGCGGAGTTTTTAACTAAATCATAATGATTAAATACATTCTTTTTATTTTGTTTAATTTAATTTAGCATGACACATTATTTACAGTAACATTCAACTTATTTATTTTACTTGAGTTTAGGCTGACTTCCTCAATAGGTTGTATTTTTTTTAATAACTACACCCATACTGTATTAGTAGAAGAAGTATCGACCTACAGCTCCTTTTACAACCTGAATGTTATTACCAAATTTTTAGACGTACACTGATTAAACTATAGCTTACTTTTACAAAACTATATAAGTAATTAACTAAATATATAACTATCTCGTAATTGCTCTCAGATCAACAAGCGACGGTTGTACGGAACAGCCCCAGCTGGTGCTCCTGTACTTCATGTCACAGCTACTGCTTCGAGAACTGGCCAAGTGTCACCGGCTCGTACAATTAGTGCCAATGGACATGACTTCTTATTATGGTATATCACAACACATATCCCAAGACTACAGTACAAATAGTTGAGAGTTATTTTATTCATTTATTGTACTTTGGGAAACTTATGGAATACTAAATTGAATAAAAATTCAATTTCTATAATTCTTTATGTGAAACAGAAGTGTACCGAAAAATTCAATCCGAAGCAAAAATTTATGTAAATACACAACTAAAAATATATCATGTACAGCATCATGTATATTTTTTATAACTATAGTAATTTCCAAAGTATATTATTATTAATAATAATATTTAATGAACAAAAGTAAAAGACAGTTACAGTTTTAGCTGGTGGAATGAAATAATCTCAACAATTTCTTTAACATTTAAAACAAAGTTATCGTATAGAAATATTTATTTTAATAAATAAATGTAATAATTACGCAATCTAATCTAATACGACTATCGAAACACTTGCGTACACTTGTTGAATGCTAACGACATACTCGTATAGTATGTACATAAATCAAGAATTTGCTTGTTTGCAGTGATTTTATTTGCAATCTCAATGTTGCTCAGACTGTACTTTAAAATTTATTATATATGTATACAGTTCTATTTAATCTGAATATATCTGTAAATATATTCAGATTCTGATAGTACACTATGTATAAAATCATATCTATTTCACCTACTTCAACAGTCAAGGAACATCACACGATGACATGATATCCGTGGTGTTGTTCATGTATATAAGCTACGCGACAGTTACCACTTACTATCTGGTGGGCCGTCAGCTTGTCATTAGGTTATTTACTTGCCATTATAATTACATTACATCTATAATTTAGCTCCGTCTTAAGAATCCTCGACTACCTAACAAGTTTTACTAACTCTGTAAAAAACTTGTTTAAGGAACTATTAAAATTATAACAAGAATAATTACGCGAAAATTGCCAAAATATTCCTAATCAAAATCTATCACAAAGCTAAAATACGTGAAACTTTCATTAGTTAAATATCTTAGATGTCAACCTAAATATTAAGCACTTACCCACCGTCAGAATCACTTCTCAATTCTGGTCTTTTGAATTACAAAGTTTGTTTTTAGAGACCGATTAATAATTAATTTTCCTTTACCCTCCTAATTGTTTTTCTAATTTAGCAAGCTCAGCGGTGAGATAACTAGAAAAGACAAATGACAGTTGCATGAAAACGTCCTTTGTAACATTCTTGAACACCAAACATTACTTTTAACTTTTTTCTTTAAATATTTCTAACTTGATATTTTATTATTATGTGTTTGATTTTATTTTGAAGATTTATTGTTTTTAATATACATACCAAGTTGTGGTTACCACAAAATACATTTAAAATTATTTACTTCCCTACTTTATTTAAAAACGAGCTTCTATTTCTAGTTCTATCTATATGTATAATTCTAGTCTTATCCTAGTCCGGTAAATCAGTCACTCTGTCAGTATTTGAATTTTTATGCAAAATATTTCGTAATCCATACACCATACTATATATCTACTAAGCTAAAATTTTGACGGCGGCAAAGCCTCGTGGGATTATACATACATATATCTGTAATAGATACACTCTTGCAATACTTTTAAGAGCCGCACGACTTTTACATATTTATTTTCCAGTAAATGTTAAGAAAAGCAATATGATATTTTGCAGTAATAACGTTTATGGTCTTGTGGCATATATGTATTTCCATACAGAGTTAATTTTCATTGTACCAAGTTGACGCCCATAGAACAGTACTCGAAATCTGAAAACGTGGTCTTGATCATTTTTATATATCTAATTACCACGATCTCATTTTCAATTTAGGAATTCGAATTATACTTTTATTTTTTAACTATGCTTCTTTGAGAGCTCTTTGTCAACTTTCATAAGTGCTATAATTATGTTTTGCATGGTACCCCTATTAAGACTGATTAATCTTTATTTTTTATAATTATTTCTCTAGTAATAATATTTATGATAAAATGTATTTATTGCATATAGATAAAGATAATTTTATTGTAAACAGAAAATCGTGCCGGTCCATCCAATTTCGGTAACGTGATCAGTCAGATTTTGCTGTGCAAGCAAATCACACCGGACTTCAATCAAGAGGAGCTTTGCAGTATCGCCAAGGACACTCAAGAGATAACCAGGATAGTGAATGATATACAAGAATACCTGCCTCAACATGAAAATCTTAATCATTTGGGTATGATTTTATCATTGTTGTATTTTTCCTGTTAGTAATCAACTTTTAAGTGAGGGATGGGACATAAGACTTCTACTAAAGATATCGTTTGACCTTACTTGACAGATCACAATCTTAGTTTAAATTTGGCATCTATCAAAAGATAACAGTGTTGAACTGTTAAGAACAATAGTTGTAGTTCCTACATACACGACGCTATTTATGTTTCTACTGTTATACTATTCATTGGTTCTCTAAAGTTGGTTATAGTTCAGATTCTACAGTTAGAGAACTATAAACTTAAAAAAAAATAATAAAAAAGTAACCATTCATAAAATTTTAAGATGCCGAAATTTTGTCCATTCAGTTTGGTAACTACAATTAGTTACAAGACTACTTACTACTGTTTATGTATTATCACGAGCATGGTAACGTAGTACTGTTCATGTATAAAGGCGACGGTTACCATTTCCCATCATGTGTGCTGTCGACCTATTTGGTAATTAAATAACAAAAAAATTATAACATTTAGGTTTATTCAACTTTCGGCTTTTTTTTCAATACATCAATAAGATAATATAATATGTCTATGTTGCAAATAATAGCGCAATGTCGGAAACGAAGTTCCATTTACATAAAAGGATTAAGAGCTTACTCCCACGTTTTCGTATCTCCATTGACATTAAGAACACTCTGCAGTGGAGTGCGGGAAAATGTTCCTTTATATGGCATCCTACCGCAACATTGGTGTTACCATCTATCAATATAGTTGTTTATGTAAATACTTTTATTGCTATATCAATAGTGCTCGCAACTTCATACTCGTGTACATTTTTAGATCGCTATTTATTATATTATTACAATCAAACAGATATAATAAATAAAGCACCAATATGACACCTTCAATTATTTAATTAAAATGCTACCTATATAATAAAATGCAGGTGTAGTATTTTTTTTGTGCACATATATGATATAAAAATAAGTTTACACATATATTCCACATGTTTAAAATAAAATTATCTACAAACCACATTTAAAACATGCATTACGGCTAAGCTTTGTATTATATATAGTTGGTAGTATATTTTATATATGCACAATAGAATAGTGATATGGTACCACTTTCAAAGATAAGTTATCTCTTTCATTATCTATATATTATATATAATAAACGCTGTTGTTTTACAGAGAGTAACGTCGCACTGAAAGGCGACGACGTCAACGGCCTGTGGAGGAATAAACGAAGAGGTTCTTTGTATAAGGGTATGGGGGTGCTCTGTTGCGTGTCCAGGCCAAACTACCTCTGAGGGTGACGGGTCTCGCCATCCCGGCGGCTCAGTACAGAATAAACACTAACTCGGAATTGCGAACTCCTGGGACATTGTTCCTATAAAAAACTCCAAGTGTTCAGTGAAATTCTATAGTAGTGATCGTGGTGTGACAAGTACCTAATACTTGTTCGGTATAGAAAATGAAGGGGTCCATTAAATTGTTTAGTTAGTAACCGATACGTGCGAAGGTAGATGATTTGTATATTATGTTACAAATCATCAACCTCTAGAGTTGTATGTATGGATAATAATATGTATTATATGATTACAGAGTATACCTACGTGAATAAAAGCGCATAGTTGCATTTTATCGTGAATTGCCTGGAATGGGATCAATTGCGTTTAAGTAGTACGTATGTTAATATTATATTAGTTTGTTTACTAAATAAATATATTATCATATATTTATTTAGTAAACATAATTCACACACTATGCATTTAAAAATTATATTGCGTATAAATTGTTCACACTTAGTAGAATTTAAATAATAGATATTCATGAATCGTAATAGATATCCGAAAGTTATTTAGATACTAATTGTACAATACTCATTTCATACACTACTACTACAGGTATTTATATCTAAATATTTTATAACTATATATACTATACATAGATATCTGTGTTCCACAAAAAAAATATATTAGTATTTTATTCTACATTTTCTTTCTTTATAGTCGTGTTATTAATTGACAAATAAATTATTACTATACAATTAAAAAAAATATGTAACTGATATAAAATACTGGTACTTCTTTCTGCTTATAGATAGAAATATATTTAAGTTTACAAAAAACAACAATTAGTTTATTATTGAAATAGTTCAGTAAAATAAAAAAATAAATTGAACAAGCAGCAATTAATATAATCTTATAAAAATATCATGTTAAAAAATATGCTTATTAGGTACTAAAATATATTTAATTTCTTGTTATTCGTACTACTATACTATATATATTGCACCCAAAAATAAACATCGACATCTAAAAAAATAGGCATATAATTAATAACATTATTATATTCTCTATTTTTATCACTTATTTTCAATTTCTGCTTCGATATCTAATTTATAAAAAAAAAATATAGAAACCGTGGCCTAGTCAACATATTTAACTATAACTATTCTAGTCAATTAACATGCCCTATTTCATAGTCACATTATGTAGCAAGAAAGTAGTCACAATACATCGTAGCTATAGATAGAAATGAGGTACCTAATCTATTACTATACATATAATATTATATAAGCTCATTATTGTTCGATTAGATCGACATATTTATTACAACCAAACTAAATAGATATAAATTATTAATTATAACACTTACTTATTTTATAATATAATAAATATATATGAGTAAAATGGTAAGAATTGTATTCATGTGGAAATCAACAGGTTTCCATGACTGACAGAAATTGTAATGTCACTAGAACATTATTTAGTTATAAGTAGAGTGTGAGTCGTGTTGTCTACTAATGATAATGTAGTCATCATCATCATAGTGAGCTTGTTCCGAATTTTACGTCATAGAGATTAGTCAAATATATAGTACCGAAGCAATTTAATACTTAGATATACAAATAATACGTATATCAGTAGTTACAGAAGATTAATTTTGTTACTCGACTTATTCCAGTTTCAGCAAAACAAATCAGGCTTCCTCAATCAAAGTTATAAATTGGCCAAGTTACAAATTTCAAAAGAAAGGATTGCTTGCCTTCCCTTCGGGATTTACTAATTATATCTATGATAAAATTAATAAATTAAGGTTATTTATAAAACATAACTCTAACCTGAAAGTATTATATCGAAGTAAGTATTTTACTGTACCTATTTAATTTTTATTAAAAAAAGTATTTTTTATTTGTTATGTAATATCAATGTTGTTTTTTACAATTTTATTACAATTTTTATTATCAGTTATGTTCATTTATCAAGTTACGTTTGTAGCTGATCTCATTAATTAAAAAAAAACAAATTACATCTCAGAAGAGAATTCAATTATGTTTATAGGTTTAAGTATTTTTTACTTTTGCAGAAGTTCAAGGGAGGCCTAACGTATATTAATAAACAATATCTGAATACTAGAAACTTTTATAGTATGCATGCTTCACTGGATTTAGAACACAGATTAAGTAGTTTATTGACTTATTATTATAGCGCACTGATACACTCGATGAACATTAAAACTTATCCATTTTTTATGAAAATTGTGTTATATTATTTTATAAAATCTAATAAGGAGTTTTTCAATATTATTATAACAATAATAAAGTTATACTTTCGTATTTACTAAATCAGTGTAATTAATAACTATTTAATGCACTTATTAAAGTGATGACTGTGATATACTCATAAAGTAAATTATAGAAAAGAATATGAATTAGTAAAAACATACTCAGAGTACTGAAGTTTTATTTCAATCTATCCACTTTATACAAATTACTATCAATCAAAACAATATCGTTTTTTAATTATAGGTATATGGATAAGATCTAAAAATCTTTTGCGTGAACTAGTTGACTTTAGTCTCGCCTATTTCAACAGCATGTTTTGTACAATGTGTTTCTGTTGATGAATGAGATAATTCAGACAAATTATAGGATAAAGAGCATGATATTATAATCCTCCAGAATGACAACGCTTAAGGGGTATAACGGGCGTCACATGGCAATGTGATAATAATAACAATAAATAAACAACACTCGATAATTAACACAACGCCATATAATATACATAGAAAACACCCAGATCGATACTAACAATGATACTGATTGTATACAATGATACAATGCGAGGAATCGAACCCGTGACCATCGGAAGTAAAGTAGTGTACTAAACCACTAGACCACCGAGGGCGTCAAATGATATTCATTAATATTGAATCATTAAGTATATCACGTGGACCAGCTTCTTTGCTTTTCCAATTAAAGTAGTTATAATTGCACATAGATATGGGTACAAGGATGATTCAATTTGTAAGTAATATTAAACACAAACGTCGTATCAAACCGAAAGTGTCTTTAAAGTTGCATTTTGATTAGTATTGTTATTCGAAATATTTTAATGGTGTTCGCAGCAGCTGGCCTTTACAATTTCACTAATTGATAAAATAGGTAAGTTACCACTCCAAACCCACGGACAGACTTATAAAGCAGCATAAGGCCAACTCCTGCCTGACGGAAACGACTGAGGACACCACTAGGAGTTGGAACCTCAGCTCAGACGGTCGTAATTTTGAATTTGACGTGGATTAGATGGAATCGTAGGGGATATTGGTTAGTAGGCAATAGCACACAGTCGTCCTTAAATAAGTACTTGACACAACTAAGTTAATCTTAAATATCGGTATTAACAGTATTTTCCTCTGCTACTTGTCATACACAGGAATATCACGGAGCTACTTTGTATATGTACGGGTATCTATTCCCCGTACTTGTTTGTAAGGTTGCGGGTGCAGGTGGAAACAAGAAAGACAAGTGTAATTATCCTCTCGAGCAGAGTTCGGTGGTCTGTACTAGCGATGGAAGCGGAATGAATTGTGCCGCGTTCGGCACCTATATTTATACTCCGCCCGCTCGCACCGTGTCACGTACTAGGTAACGATTGTGTTACGCACATAGGTGCGAGCGGGACGGAGAGCGCGAAAGACCACCTCTACTCGCTCCTTTATTTATTAATTTAAACTTTACATACAATGCAATTATATTTAATTCTACCTATTAGGGAATTGAAACTACTACAATTATAAATTTTATTAAGCTAACAATAATCAAATATTTACAATAGTCGCGAACATATCTCCCGCCGCAGCTAAGCTGTATTTAATTCGAGTTCGCGTTGCTCGATTGGCAGGATTACTAATTTCTTCGTAGGTCGCCGAAGTATCCCCTTGTTAGTGCGCACGTCGACCGCCCGTATTTCACCATCCGGTCCCGGATACGTAGCCACCACCACGCCGCGCGGCCCGGAGTTCCGCGGCAAGTTGCCGTCTGCCACCAGCACCAAGTCTTCTAACTTGATGACTCCGTGTGTAGCTCGGGGCTCCCGCCGGTGTTGTAGCTGGGGTAAATATTCGGTTACCCAGCGCCTCCAGAAGCAGTCAGCGAGCCACTGACTGGCGCGCCACTCCTTCCTGCCCGCCGTATCGCCCTCAGCGAAAGCTCCCGGCAGTGGTACGCGGGACGGACCTCCCAATAGGAAGTGGTTGGGGGTGAGTGCGTCCTCGTCGTCCGCTGATGTCGACACGTGGGTGAGAGGTCGACTGTTGAGCGTGTGTTCTACTTCCACCAGCAGGGTGAGAAGGACTTCTTCTTTCGGGGCTCGTTCATGCAGCGTTGCGGCCAGCGCGGTTTTCACGCTGCGCACTAGTCGTTCCCAGGCGCCGCCCATGAAGGGAGCGCTCGGTGGTATGTAGCGCCAGCGTATAAAGCGCACCGACGACTCTTCTTCCATGGCTTCAGCGGCTGCTTTCTTCATCTCGAGGTCGGCACCCTTGAGATTGGTGCCTTGGTCCGACCACAGCTCCGTGGGGCACCCGCGGCGGCTTATAAAGCGCCGCAGAGCCATTACTGCGGAGTCGGTGCTGAGGCTGCCGGCGATCTCCAGGTGCACAGCCCTCGTGGTGAGACATGTGAACAGCACGCCGTACCGCTTCTGATGCGTGCGACCCACCGTCACTGTCATCGGCCCGAAGTAGTCTAGGCCGGTGAAGGTGAACGGCCGCTGATGATGTGCCAGCCTGCTGCGTGGGTGGTTGCCCGTTGATGGTTGTGCTGGTGCTGCTTTCCTGATGCGGCACGTTTGGCATCTCTTCAATTCACTACGAACGGCATGTCGTAGGCGCAACACCCACATGTGTTGACGCACCTCGTTCGCAGTAGTTTCGAAGCCCCCGTGATGAAGTTTTCTGTGCACCCATGCTATGTACAGGCGTACCCATACATGTTGACCGTCGACTATGGGTGGTTCCCGTTGCTCCGCGGACAGATTGGCGGCAGCCGACACCCTTGAGCGGAGTCGCAGCACATTGTCTTCGTCGATGAAAATGGACAACTGTATAAGTCGACTACTCGACGACAGTTGTTTATTGCGTCGCAACGCCGCTATATCGATGCTGAATGCCTCTTCCTGTATTGAGCGGATCCATAGCCGACGGGCGCGTTCTAAGTAGTGTGTGTCTATGGGTATATAACACACAGGCGCACGTACGTTTTTCTTTTCGACGGTTCTGGTTTTCTTATCTTGTTGCTTCGCCACGTGGGATCGTCTTCATGTTTTTTGTTTCTCTTGTGGGTAGCGACGGCGCAGTGTTGCTTGAGTGGTCGCAATTTATTTATAAATTGCAATACGCGGGCCGTACTGCGGACGATCTTCATCCAGTCGGAGAATCGCGCGGGATCGGGCAACGCTCGAGATAATCGTGTTGCATCTTGTATTGTGTGGGCGCGCTCTTCGCTTGTATTTTCCGTATGGTGGGAATCGTCTTCATGAGGCCACTCTTCTTCTGGTCGATATAGAAACTGCGGCCCCCGGAACCATCTGTGTGTTGAAGTGAAGTGGTGTGGCACGTCGCGTGTGGCATCATCCGCGACGTTGTCGGCCGTCGGCACCCATCTCCACTCGTTCGTTTTCGTATCTTCCATAATTTCAGCGACTCGGTGAGCGACGAAGGGCTTGAATGCACGCGGCCCGGTGCGTAACCAAGACAGTACGGTACGCGAATCCGACCAGTAGACACGACGGGCAGGTTTCAGATCGTGTTCTTCGACAGCCGTGCGTGACAGGCGGCTCCCTAGTACGGCCGCTTGTAGCTCCAGACGTGGTATAGTGGTGACCTTGTTCAAAGGGGCCACTCTTCCCTTGGCTGCGATGAGTGACACACGTACCTCGCCGGTCACGCATACGGCCCGCCAGTATACGACACAGGCGTATGCATCTGAGCTCGCGTCGACGAATGTGTGAAGCTCCGTCGTACGTGCCGTCGCCACACCGGGGTAACACCGTGGTATTACCAAGTGGGGTAACTGCTGTGCGTGCGATATCCAGCTCCGCCACGCTGCTGCTTCCCGTTCTTGCAGTTCGGTGTCCCAGCCGATACCCGTGCGCCACGTTTCTTGTAATATCTTCTTGGCTTGTATTGTGACGGGTGTGGCCAGGCCCAATGGGTCGAACAGCGACATAACGGCGCGGAGGGCTTCTCTCTTCGTTGGGGTGCGTTCGCCTCGTATGATGTGTAACGGAAGTTTGTTCCCGTTGAAGTTGAACCCGAGACTGTCTTCCTCAGGCCGCCACACCATACCCAGTATCTTCTCAGCGTCGAGTTGCACCATGTTCTCTTCATTTCTATGTGAGAACTCTTCTCGTACATGGCGCGAGTTCGATGCCCAGCGCTGAAGATAGTAGTTCGCCCGGCTGTGGATGTAGGCGACCTCGCTTGAGACTCGTACGGCTTGCTCTTCAGTGTCGAAGCTAGCGAGGTAGTCGTCAACATAGTGATTGACAACCACCGCTGCAGCCGCCTCCGGGAACTCTTCTTTATGTAGTTCGGCGTTCTTGTTCTTCACGTATATCGCCGTGCATGGCGACGAAGTGGCCCCGAAGATGACGCTCTTCATCCTATATTCGACAGCTGGACCCTGGCGTCGATCTCCTCTCCATAGAAACCGTTGCATGTCTCGGTCTTCTTCTCGTATTGTGACACGCATGAACATATCCTTGATGTCCGCTGTGACCGCCACACGGCGCTGTCGGAACCTCATGAGGACCCCAGGTAGTGATTGGAGTAGGTCGGGTCCCGGCAGCAGCATGTCGTTGAGACTAATGCCCCTTGTCTTGGCGGCGGCGTCGTGCACGATGCGCAGCTTGTCCGGTTTCTGTGGGTTGATGACAGCGAAGTGTGGCAGGTACCATACTCGTTCAGTCTTCACCGGTGGGGCGATTTCTGCATATCCCCTTTCTAACAGCGTGGTAATTTGCTGTTTATATCTGTTCTTCATGTCTTCATTCTTGTCGAGTTTTTTCCCAATTAACTCGAGGCGTCGCATTGCTGAGTCGTAGTTAGCCGGCGGCGTTGCGTTGTCGCGTTTCCATAGCAACGCGGTCTCGTAGCCTCCCGCCGGTAACGGGCGAGTTTTTTCTTGCAATATTTTCAGCGCGCGTTGTTCCTCTTCATTGTATGAGCGCTTCGGTGTGACGCCCAGTGATTCGAGAGCGAAGTGTTCTTTCATTAATCGCTCTATGGATTCTTCATTTTCTTGCCCGTCGACTAAGTGACTGATTCTGTGCACTTGCTGTCTCGCTCTCGCCGCTCCCGTGCCGTGCAACACCCAACCCAGGTCGGTGAGTGATGCGACCGGTTGTGTCTTATTGCCTCTTCTGACTTCATGTGCGAGCAGCAAATGCCAGTTGTCTTGACCCAGCAGAACCGTCGGTTGACCTTCTTCATATGTCAGCTGATCTATTATATCGTACAAGTGTGGACAGTCTTCTATTGCGCTGCGTGATACTGTTTGTGGAGATAACAGTAGTTTCTTCATGGTTCGCGCAGACACGGCATGATCTTCCGATCTTCGTCCCCGTATTGTGAAGTGGACAAGCTTCGATTCATCGGCGTTTATGCGTGTCCCGGCCACGGCCTCTATGTAGAAGGGTGCGGGAGGACCAGTGGCGCCGATTTGCTTCGCTGTTGCTTCTTCGATGATGGTGCACGTTGCGCCGTCGTCCAGGAGTGCGTATGTATCGCACGTTCCTTTGGGACCGATCACTTGTATCGGCACTATCTTGAGGAATGCGATCTTCTTATCTTCTCTCGCAGACGCGACGACTGCGGCTGCTTTATCATCGGAGGGCTCGCTGTCCTTCTTCTCTATGGTGTCGACGTGCAGGAGTGGGTGATGTAGGTGTGTACACCCACCAACGTTGCATCTCTTCGTCTTGCAGTTGTGACGAAATCTTTTTATCCTCAGGCAACGGAAACATAGCCTGTGTTTTTTTGCTATCTCCCATCTTGCTTGTGGCTCGGCGTTCTTCACAGTGATGCAATCGGGTGGTGCGTGTCCCTCCCTGTTGCACGTCGGACACGGCGGTGAAGTCGGTTTCTCCTGCGTGATGTATGTTTTCACGCTTCTCTTCGTTGCTGGCTCCCGCCGGTCTTCATTTACTATTACTTCGGCGGGTGCGAAGTCACCGCACCTGGCTGCGGTGATTTGCAGGAACTTGGAGAGCGTTATCAGGTCCGGTTGATCAGCTGGCTGTTCTGCTACGAAGTCGTAGTATTTGAATCGTAGCGCAGAAGGCATCTTCTCCGTGATGGATCTTGTCACTTCTTCGTTGTACAAATAGTGGTTCTTCTTCAGGGCTTGAATTGTTGCAGTGACATTGGCTATTCTGGATGCGAATAGACAGATGTCCTTGGGGTTGTCTGACAGCCGCGGCAGCGCACGAAGTTTATTCATCTCGGCCATCACGAGTGCTCCTGGACGGCCGAACCTCGTAGCAAGTAATTGTATTACTTCTGCTGCAGACGTATCCCCGACGAAAAGACAGTGTGCAGCCTCTTTGGCCGCACCCTTTAAACACCGACGTAATCTACCCAAGTTTTCTTGCTCGGTCAGCTGCCCCGCAGACTCTTCATAGGCCATCTTCCAGGGCAGCCATTCGCTTGACGCGCCGTTGAAGGGTGGTAGTTCTGTGACTCGCGGCACCGTGGAGGGCTGAATTGCGCGAGCTGCCATAGTCATTGCAGTCGCCAATTCCTTATAGTCGATGCCCCCCTTCAGTGAATCCTCTTCTTTCTTCGTTGGCATCATCGGTGCTATGGAGTCTTCCCTCGGACCGTTGTGGCTTGCATGGTCCCGTCGGAATGCGTCGCTGCACGGCTGCGGCTGCGGCGCTTTCGTTCCCTCTCCGGCGGGTATCGATGAGATATTAATCCCCTGATGCAAGTCGGCGGTCGTCCTCTCTGTGTGCGGCTCCATTGTGAGTGCCAATGTGCTCGTCCGGCGAATCCAGTCCGTAGTCCTCTCTCTTCTTAATGTGGCGGCGTCCTCTTCATTTTCGTCCTCCTCTTCGTCGTCCGTGTCCGCCTCCAATGCTGCGACGCGTGCGGCGGCCAGTTCTACCTCCTTGCGTAGCAATTCTTCTCGGGCTTTAGCCAATTCTTTCTTCTTTTTTGAAGCTGTGGTGCGCGGCGCCCTTGGAATTGTTGTGGTAGTCTCCGCAGAAGTCTCCGCGGAAGTCTCCGTGGTAGCAGTAGGTTCCGAGGACGTGTACGTCGTGGTGGTCGACGTAGTGGCGGCAGCAGGCGACGTAGTGGCGGCGACGGTCGGTGTAGCGGCGACAGGCGACGTGACGGCGGCGGTGTTTTCTTCGTTTGATTGAGCTTCCATGGCTGTTCTTTGGCTTCTTGTTGTTGGCATCTGTGATCTTGATCTCTGTGCAGTCTTGCTTTCTTCTTCCAACAATCCGGCTCGAAGGACCAGATGTACGGGTATCTATTCCCCGTACTTGTTTGTAAGGTTGCGGGTGCAGGTGGAAACAAGAAAGACAAGTGTAATTATCCTCTCGAGCAGAGTTCGGTGGTCTGTACTAGCGATGGAAGCGGAATGAATTGTGCCGCGTTCGGCACCTATATTTATACTCCGCCCGCTCGCACCGTGTCACGTACTAGGTAACGATTGTGTTACGCACATAGGTGCGAGCGGGACGGAGAGCGCGAAAGACCACCTCTACTCGCTCCTTTATTTATTAATTTAAACTTTACATACAATGCAATTATATTTAATTCTACCTATTAGGGAATTGAAACTACTACAATTATAAATTTTATTAAGCTAACAATAATCAAATATTTACAATAGTCGCGAACAGTATATAGTATTTTTCTAGTGTGCTCTGGTTGATGTATATTGATAACTGTTTTCGTTAATTTACACAGGTTATTTACCAGCGACACAATATTAAAAAGTAAGATTCCTTGTGGAAATGAACATTTGCTGAGAGAATAGTAATATTTGTAGAAATAAGTCGGTACCTAAGAATATTAAATACCTAAACCAATTTATACCATAGTGTTATTGTAATAGATTTACACAGAACTGGAAAAATTTAGTAAAAGTGTTTTTTCATAGTAGTACAGTTTTTTAATTACATTATTTAAGGGCGAATTATGAATTTAGTTTAAAAATTACGTACTCAGTCTGACAGATTGTGGGTGTGATGATTTTTTTTTAATGTATGTATTCTCATCAACAACCAAGGTTAGCATCCAAGTTCATAAATATAGATATGCACGCTGCAACTTACACACAAGACCTAACATAAAATAAGAAACAAATTAAATTTATTTCATTATATTAATTGTCCCTTTCGTATATATCTCCACGCTGCCTTATATAAGGAATCGCTGTCCTTCCTCCTTGCCCGCCACTGCCACCACGGTCATTCCAAGATCGTTTCGGCTTATAATCGTCTTCCATTGACTTTTTAGAACTGTACACTAAAACAGAATCAGCTATATACCTATAAGGTAAATGAAATGAATGTATGTATAACCTTTTATTATTTTTCATCAATAAACTAAAGGTCAATTTAAGAAATTATTTATTGAAGGTCTGTGCTATTGCAAAGATTAATTTGTTATCCCTGATTACCGTCGTTTATAGAAAACAATATTTTATTATTGAAAAATTCATGTTTACTATTTCTCCACATCAGTCCATAAAAATAAGAAGGCAATTGAAATATGCTATTTATTCCATCATTATATTATACTCCTTATTTCTAGGACTGAGAATTGGTTGACGATTAATTACTACTGTACATTGTAATACCCTCAAAACTTACCTTAAATAATTTAAATATGAAATTTAATTAAATTCTTTTTTTCTAATTTATTATAACATATATTTATTGTTCTTACAATATATGTTCAAGCTCATTTACATACACACAAGATATGCATATTTAAGTAATTAGTTCTAGAATATTTATAATTAATATTTACAAATACAAAATCCTATTATATATATATATATATATATATATATATAAATATCCCCTTGGGCACTTTGTGGCTCAGACGTGCCGTATAGGTAGTTTTTTGTTGATCCTTTTTCACTTGTTGATCCGGAGGCCTTTTGTTGATCTAATGCCAGATGACCATATGTAAATGTTGCTCCGTTTTGAGCCACAACTGTCACGACGAGTAATAATAATAATTAAGTGATTTATACACGATTTTATACAAATCCACCTTTTTGGCATACGAGCACTTCTTGATCCAATTCAAACGGGCCAATCAGGGTGCAGCATTTGCCAAGGGCTTCCTCATTGGCACGTTTGGGCTACTACATTATGGCTACAGTAACTTAATAATGTCTAGCTAGTATTTCAAGAATAATAGTCTATCTAATCTAAATATTTATAGAAATCAGTCTGGAGTAACGTGACTCCAGATCAAACCTCAATACTTGTTATTTTTTGGACGGGAATCTTTTCTTTTGTAACAACGTTACTGAGCGAATAAAGAGAAGACGCAACGGCGGATCCAGGGGGAGCGTCATGGAGGTCATGGGAGTCATGGGGGCGTCATGACTCTCCCCCCCCTTAGCCCAGAACTTAGGTAGACCACTAATTGAACTAAAAAATAATGAAACAGCAAGTTTTTTTGCACGATCGGAGTGTTGGTACAGTAGTATTAATTATAATTAAACATTGTTACTTAAAACATAACAGTTAAAGTACTATAACACTAAAAGCAAAATAGGTATTTTCAAAATACTTTTTCAAAATAAATTACCCTTTGAGTTTTTGTTCAAACCTCAGATATTATATTTATTTTAGGTATATCAATCAATACATAGTATAGCATAGTACAGTCTGTCTGTCTGTCTGTTTGTTCCGGCTAATCTCTGAAATAGCTGGACCGATTTTGACGGGACTTTTTTTGGCAAGTAGCTGATGTAATAAGGAGTAACTTACGCTACTGTTATTTTAGAAAAATAAAATAAAATTTCACGCGGACGAAGTCGCTGGGGCCAGCTAGTCTATAGATATACCGAGATTTAATGTTTAAGTTGCTATTATGTTATTGACAAAATTTTACTGTAATGTTTACTACATGCATATGAATATATATAAGGTACATATACCAAAATAACTATTTTTATAATTTTAGTCTGTCTGTCTGTCGGTCTGTTTGTTCCGGCTAATCTCTGAAATGGCTGGACCGATTTTGACGGTACTTTTTTTGGCAGGTAGCTGATTTATAAGGAGTAACTTAGGTTACTTTTATTTTAGAAAAATAAAGTTAAATTCCACGCGGACGAAGTCGCGGGAACACCTTGTTTTTAATAAAAACATCTTTTTTGTGGTACTTGAGAATGTTGAAGCCTGTTGTTTGTAATATTGAAATAACCGTTTTTTACTACTTGCATATGAATATAAATACGGTACATACACCAAAATAACATATTTTACAATTTTTGTCTGTCTGTCTGTCTGTTTGTACCGGCTAATATCTGAAATGGCTGGACTGATTTTGACGGGACATTTTTTGCCAGGTAGCTGATGTAATAAGGAGTAACTTAGGCTACTTTTATTTTAGAAAAATAAAGTTAAAAACCACGTGGACGAAGTCGCGGGAACAGCTAGTATTAGAGATACCTACGCGTTTTTTTATTGATGACTAGCTGTACACGGGATTTCGTCCGTGTGGAATTTAACTTTATTTTTCTAAAATATAAGAAGTTAAATTCCACACGGACGAAATCCCGTGTACAGCTAGTTGTCGGTAGTCTAGCGATTTAGCTAGCACACTGCTTTGATTCCTGCTTGGTGGTCGAGGGTTCGATTCCTCGCACGCTGCAAACATTTGTATTCATGAGTATGATTGTTTGTAATGGTCTGGGTGTTTTCTATGTATAGATAATATATATGTATTTACGAAAAAAAATCTTTGTATTTATATCAGTACCCATAACATAATCTTCAGCTAGCTTAACTTGGGTCTAGATGAAGCTGTGTGAATTGTCCTGAGATTACTATTATTACTATAATAAATCTTTTCAAATCAGCCGATGTTTATTTTTGCCATAATACGTGCTGTTACCATGTGATAATATTACGTACGTACTTATTAAACTATTAACTTATTATTAAATTATTAACTATTTATACTGTTTTAAATGTGATGCGTTCATTATTTATATTTCCTTTGAATTAAAGACAAATGTATATATATATATATATTTATATACACTTGCACACTTAGTTGATCCAGCCACGATCCGTAGATATTGCTGATCCACTGTCTCTCTCTTTCTATCACTATCTTTGTATTCTAATATGCGATGTTGCCGTTCCGGCCGAGACCATGCGTTGTTGCCAAATGTATTCGTCGATAGTAGTAGATACTTATACTCGATATATATTTTTTCAACAATTTCCTGCAATAGTGAATCCGTATCGGCATTTTTTTTAAATGCACAAAGATTTTTTGGCTCTGAATATATTTAAAAATCATTTACTTGTGTGTTGATGAATTTATATACTAGTACATGAAGTACCTAATACTTGTTTTGATTTGAATAGGTAGCGATATTATGAATTTATTATACGTAATCTAAAGATTTTGACGAAATAAAAGTAATTAGTTATCTGTTAACCTTGACTTCATGCTGGCACCAGTATTATCAGATGATGAACATACTCTTCGAAAACTTACAGCAGAAATATCGTGTTTGGACTCATTAGATAGGTCTCGATGAATAGAGTTTAAAAAACTTAAAATAAATGGTAAATTAGAAATAATGTATAAAAACCCCTTACGTAAAATTCAACCACTTTAAACTTAATAATAATAATAATTAGGAAAAGAGAAAAGCTATACATGCACTGAAAGTAATTGATGCCTTCCACACAATATTTTCAGTATTAAACAACTCTGTTTGTTCAGTAAAAGTGTAAATACACTGGTAACCTTTAATCATATTTTATATGCAAACATTACATATACAAACACTAAAGTTTTATTTCAGAATAGCCAGTAGTTTTCAAGAAATAAGTCTTTGAAATTGTACGTGTAACTTATATATATACCTACTAGTTTTTTCACCATAACAAACAACACCAATATGACCTAGTTAGTAGTTTACCTGTGTACCAATTAATAATAATAGTAATCTCAGGACAATTCATACAGCTTCATCTAGACCCAAGTTAAGCTAGCTGAAGATTATGTTATGGGTACTGATATAAATACAAAGATTTTTTCGTAAATACATATATATTATCTATACATAGAAAACACCCAGACCGTTACAAACAATTTAATAATAAGTTAATAGTTTAATAAGTACGTACGTAATATTATCACATGGTAACAGCACGTATTATGGCAAAAATAAACATCGGCTGATTTGAAAAGATTTATTATAGTAATAATAGTAATCTCAGGACAATTCACACAGCTTCATCTAGACCCAAGTTAAGCTAGCTGAAGATTATGTTATGGGTACTGATATAAATACAAAGATTTTTTTTCGTAAATACATATATATTATCTATACATAGAAAACACCCAGACCGTTACAAACAATCATACTCATGAATACAAATGTTTGCAGCGTGCGAGGAATCGAACCCTCGACCACCAAGCAGGAATCAAAGCAGTGTGCTAGCTAAATCGCTAGACTACCGACAACTAGCTGTACACCCGACTTCGTCCGCGTGGAATTTAACTTCTTATATTTTAGAAAAATAAAGTTAAATTCAACACGGACGAAATCCCGTGTACAGCTAGTCATCAATAAAAAAACACGTAGGTATCTCTAATATATTATACACTAGCTGTTCCCGCGACTTCGTCCACGTGGTTTTTAACTTTATTTTTCTAAAATAAAAGTAGCCTAAGTTACTCCTTATTACATCAGCTACCTGCCAAAAAAAGTCCCGTCAAAATCGGTCCAGCCATTTCAGAGATTAGCCGGAACAAACAGACCGACGGACAAAAATTGTAAAATATGTTATTTTGGTGTATGTACCGTATTTATATTCATATGCAAGTAGTAAAAAACGGTTATTTCAATATTACAAACAACAGGCTTCAACATTCTCAAGTACCACAAAAAAGATGTTTTTTTATCAAATAAACAGTTTTTATTAAAAACAAGCTGTTCCCGCGACTTCGTCCACGTGGAATTAACTTTATTTTTCTAAAATAAAAGTAGCCTAAGTTACTCCTTATAAATCAGCTACCTGCCAAAAAAAGTACCGTCAAAATCGGTCCAGCCATTTCAGAGATTAGCCGGAACAAACAGACCGACAGACAGACAGACAAAAATTATAAAAATTGTTATTTTGGTATATGTACCTTATATATATTCATATGCATGTAGTAAAAAACGGTTTTTTCTATATTACAAACAGACACTCCAATTTTTATTAAATGTATAGATGTATAGATTATTATTTATTTATTTATTTATTCATCCAAAATAATACAAATTGTGTAGGATAACGTAATAGTAACATTACAGTAAAATTTTGTTAACAACATAATAGCAACTTAAACATTAAATCTCGGTATATCTATAGACTAGCTGGCCCCAGCGACTTCGTCCGCGTGAAATTTTATTTTATTTTTCTAAAATAACAGTAGCGTAAGTTACTCCTTATTACATCAGCTACTTGCCAAAAAAAGTCCCGTCAAAATCGGTCCAGCTATTTCAGAGATTAGCCGGAACAAACAGACGGACAGACAAAACTTATAAAATATGTTATTTTGGTGTATGTACCGTATTTATATTCATATGCAAGTAGTAAAAAACGGTTATTTCAATATTACAAACAGAAACTCCAATTTTATTTACATGTATAGATGTATAGATTAAAAAAAAAGTAACAGTCATAAGGCTAGTCGTATGCCTAATATATATAATAATGTAATAAATTCATTTAAACTGAAATTGCGGGAACATTATTTAAATTTGTATCTTTTTTACTGTCCTTCTCCTTTTTTCACATCTTTCTGTTATATCCATATAGTTCTCTCTATATTTTCTGTTTTTCTTACTTTCAATTTGAGACTGTACTTATAATTTGATTATCGGATCATTATGTATTTACTTATATATAATATTTATACATTTATGGGTTATATTTACATATATATTTATGTATGTATACTGTTATTTTTTTATAGAAATGTATATTTTGCTTATCTTTATTATCTTTATAAATCTTTTTTTGACATTTCTTATTTATATTAGTGCACCGCCAATAATCTTTCTCTGCACCACTCATGGTTGCCTGGTAAATAACGCGGCAAAATATTAAGTCCGCCACATGTACAAATTTTTTTGTGCATTAAAGTTAAAGAAATAAAAAAAATACAATACTGTTTAATGAAAATGCGTGTTGTCTAGTGCTTTGAGATGTATCAAAATAAGGTCAACAAAAAAGTCCGTGATGGTATATGTCTATCTCTTAAGGATAACCAACAATAACCATTTTTTATCTTTTACATTTTACGGGATTTTTTTTTATCGTATGTTTCCCTTAAAATCATGTAAACTATGTTATTATGTCATAATCTAAAGAAATAATAATATTTTATAGTGACATATCCACTATAAAATACCAAAAAGTAGCAATGTAATTCGTTACGCGCGAATCAGGTGTTATAAGGTCAAAGGTCGGTGCACCCCGCGTATTTGATAAATAGTGCTTCTCTGGATGTCTTTAAGAGAAAATGGCAGTATGTACGTGTATATGTACAAGTCCTTAAGTGTTAAGTTTTTCAAATGTACATACAGTAAAGAATAAATATTTTTAAGTACAGTACTTACGTACATTAATATAATACCTACTTTTTACTTGTATCTATTGTTATCAAAATTAAATTATAAGTTCTTAACTTGACCACGACTATGTGACCCTCTCTTGGCGCCAAAACGAGTGAAAAAATGAACAGCATACGACGACGACGCAGTACCTATAGAGTGGAGCAACTGCTTATTCAGTTTTATTCAACTATTTAGTCCCTCCACCGTTACAATGAATGGAGGCGGATATTACAATGTACGTAGCATTGCGAATATAAAATATCTAGATTAGGTATAATAAATTCATAATTCATAGGCCGTTACGGTATCAGAGCCAAAGTCTTCTTTCTTTGTTTATGTACTGTTAGATGCGACAGCGACTTTGTTTTTATATTACTATGTAATTATTGATATACCTAAAATAAATAAAATATCTGAGGTTTGGACAAAATTTCAAAAGGTACTTAATTTTTAAAAAGTATTTTGAAAATACCTATTTTGCATTTAGTATTTGAAATACAAAACACAAAACTATTTTTGTTTTTAGAGTGACATTTCTATGAATTCACTGTCGATAGCGAGCGGTGCGATGGAAAAAGATAACCGTTTATAAAAATATAATAAATAACCCTGGACAATTAACACAGACTGATACTGAACTGATATAAATAGATATTTTTATTTTGTAAATACATATATAATATACATATAAAACACCCAGACCGATGAAAACAATCGATGACCGATGAGTACAAATGTTTGCATCGTGCGAGAAATCGAACCCGCGACCATCGGATGTAAAGCGGTGTGACCACCGAGGCAGTCGAAATATATAAATAATCTTATGAATTTAATTTATTCTAATTTGTTTATGTGCGCGGGGTGCGGTGTACGGTGCTCCCCCTGCCTCCACCGTTGCTGGAGCTTGCATGTATGGAGCATTGCGAATATAAAATATCTAGATTAGTAAATTCATAATTGATAGACCGTTACGGTATCTATATATATTCGGATTAAAATAAGTATCGCAGTAAGGACCAGTATATAAAGTGATCAACACAATTAACTGATTTTTGAAATATATATACAGAGCCAAAAAGTCTTTGTGTATTCAAAAAATATCTAATTTGTTTGTGTGCGCGGGGTGCGGTGTACGGTGCAGGGGGGACCCTGCCTCCACCGTTGCTGGAGCTTGCATGTATGGAGCATTGCGAATATAAAATATCTACATTAGTAAATTAATAAATTCATAATTGATAGACCGTTACGGTATCTATATATATTCGGATGAAAGTAAGTATCGCAGTAAGGACGAGTATATAAAGTGATCAACATAATTAATTGATTTTTGGAATATATTCAGAGCCAAAAAGTCTTTGTGTATACCAAAAATTTAGCCGTTCGGAGCCATTCAGTCACGAATTATTAGTAAAAAAAGTGTCGAGTATATCGTACTATCGACGAATATATATGGCCACATCGCAAAATAGAATGCGACGTTGCCATACCGCCTGAGATATACGCGATAGGAGTCAAGTTATTCAGTGCAAAAGGTGGAATCAGCAAGTGTGTAGGTTGTGGCGTGATCAACAAAGTGCCCAAAGAGGTGTTTATATATATATATATATATACATGTAATCTTATAAAAGTATTTAAGCATGTTTATTATATCATATACTATACTCACTTTCTTTGGAATCACGACGTGAACGTCTGGCTATTGAATTATTATTAACAGAGAGCCCTTTATAACGATCCTCATTTCTCTCTGCCATTGTCGACAATGAGACTATTTGCGATATCCTAATAAAGAGAAATAGAAAATACAACTGCCTATCAAACAAATCCGCACTTATCTTATTATGTTTTGAAGATTTACATACTTACAGGTTCGTCAATTTATTTTTATTCTTACTCTTTTTAATAGCTTGTGGGTTCAAAATTACATAAATTTTAGAATATTGATCAAGTCTCTCCAAACTACCGTCACCGCGATTTTTGTAATTAAAGGATTCAAGTAAATTATTTGGTTTTAATGCATGTTTTGATATTACTTTCTTGTTCTTCTGTTTTATAACATCAGCATTTTGTGATAATACTTCCTCTAAAATCTGTTGCGTTGGAAAACTGTTACCTGTATTTTCTCCATACTGCTTATTTAATAATTTAATTATATTTTTTATTTCCATATTGTCATAGTTTTGTTGTTTATATTTTCTCATTCTCTCCTTCTCATTAGCAGCTTCCTCTATAAGACCCACAATCTCTCCACTTCTTAGAATATCGCGGCGGTTGTCTTCTTTGTCAGAAGATTCGGAGCTATCCGAACTACTACGTCGATCTCTTTCTCTTTGTTGCAATTGCTGCTGTGTCTGCAATATCTCCATTAAAGTACCGACATCTAGATTCTGTGTGTTTCCATAAATTCCATTTAAGGGCATAATTACTGAAATTGATAACACACTAAGTTTTAAAAATGCACACAAACTTTCCAATTTGCTTATCAGAAGCAGAATTCTCTATAAGTTACGCACTCGCGATGTAGGTAGCCTACCTCATGGTACATAGGTCACGTAAGAAACTGTACTAAAAATTCTACTAATTAAAACTGTACTATTTTATATGATTGTACCTATATGACAATGGAAACTATTATACATAGACATATATTTATACGTGGTCTGCATATTTAATGCAGTCTACTATCACATATTTTCTGGGTGCATTGGCACGCAGTACACAAAATATACTAAAAGTATTGCGTTGGACGATCTTTTGCGAAATGGAGTCAAAAAGTTTTTTATCGGAAGCACCAATCCAAAAAATTACACTTACCACTTTTTTATACAATATGTATAAAAACAACATGCAGAAAGAAGTAACATATAAATAAGTAGTGAATTGTCAGACAAATTAGCATAATATAATATTTAATGTCTCAACGTGAGATTAACGTTAGTGATAATTAACTATAATTGAAATTTATGTATACATATTATTAAATACAAACTCTCTAAAAGCCCAAAGTTTGCAGACAAAGTGGTTAGATTACAGAATGTTACCCCGAACGTCTGCAGATCTACTTACCGGCAAATAAAAATGCTAGGCTCAACATTATAACTGTATTCCGTCAGAGTGCCTCAAGTAAAGTAAGTACGCAGGAGTTCTTATCAAATGACAAACTACATAAAAACTTATATGGCAATTTTCAATTTTCATTTACTCTTATCAGGTTGTTGATATAGTCTTAAAGAAATTTTAACAGCTGTTTAATATTTCTTTCCTAAAAAAACGTTTCGATCTATGAAAAAAATTGTATAAAAGTTAAGTTCGATACGCATCATCGCTTCATGCATATCTTGATGAAGATTAAAAATACAAGATTGTTATACTAATGACAATATTGTTTTAATAAAGGTGGTAAGAGGTCAATCGTCTGGCATAATATTGTCTTCTCTTACATCTTATTACGCTCCACCTAACCTCCGAATTATAAGAAAGGAAAAGATGAGAACTGGAATTTTCTTCTATGTATTATTATTAAAATACAATAATCATTAATAAATGAATTGATAAATATTGGAATCCTATTGTTGGGCACCTCCTCACCTTGAGCAGAGGTTCCTCAAGAGGTTGTTTAATACATTAATTCGAATACTGACACACGTTTTGAATAATACATAGAAATCTTAAACATGTTATAAAGGCGTGTCTGTCTGTTTGTTCATTTTCACAGGAAAATGGTTGAACGAGTCTAATGAAATGTAATATGAAGATTGTATCACTAAGACGGACGTAGTTATATTTCTCTACAATCTTTCTCAGTAAAAAAGTAGGCAAGTTAGGATTGAATGTACCTACTTATGGTATACATAACGATAGAATAAGATAAAAATGTAAATTACAAATTATAAGTTTATTATAAACATATGTTTAATTATATATTTAATTAATATTACCTTCACGTCTGTACTTGCGTCACTGTTTTGTATGCAAATAGTAACAAAGGGAAAGGCTAGCATAACGCCTTGCGTGTGTATTTAATGGGTTTAGTGAATTTGACCTAACGGCCCTGTAACACGGAAAACTTTGCAGCAATTAATTATACGCTCATTCAAAATTATTTTTAACTTCGTTTAATATCAGTGCTATTAAAGAAATATTATAAAGTATAATAGTGAGTATTGTTTAAAATATTTTTAGTTAGACTCAATAAAAACTCTAAGTCACAAAAATATTTGGACGGGTGTAAATGATATTTGATATCCAAATCGATTATTTGCTAAATTAACACTTTAAATATATTTCATTTATGAAGAAATCAAAGCCTGATTTTGTGCCTATAGTATCTTTTTAATTTCGGTGAAGATTTAATTTAAACAAGACAAATACAATTTAATATAATTATGTTAAATTTAATTAAGATTTAAATTAATTTAATTATGTTTAGTACATGTAACTAACATCAACAAAAACAACACTTGAATTTCCATCCTATTAATTGAAAGTTTCAAATGAAGAATGCGAGATGAATATAAGTAATTAAATCTACGTTACATATAAGACATTGGTAAGATGTTCCGTAGATAGCAGTCGTTCCGGAATTGAACGCAGGAAATTAACTGGAAGCTCGGTGTTAATCTGAGGAAGCAATATACAGCTGAGGCCCGAAGCTTCGCGCCATCGCCTTCTTTAATTACTGCAAATCCTAAACTACGCTTGATTAAACAATTTCCGAACAAATTACACCGGTAAGTACCCACTTGATTTGAAGAAGTGGCCACTCTATTAGGTATTAGAGTGTGTTGGTTGCAACGATAAAAGTCGATGAGCCGGCCTCGGCAACAGCGCTGTATTTAGTGGTCTTCTTATTTCATGCTTAACGATTTATGAAACCATTCATTTATAAAATAAACCTGATATTGCCTGAAAGAAAGTACTTTCTGTAAAATGAATCATACCCCTAAGTTGTACGGTTGAAAACTAATTTAACTTATTCAAGTCAATTTCCGTTTCTTTAGTAACTGTAGCAAATTGTATACAATGCACCTACGAGAATATATTTCCTTGCTTAAAAAAGTTAAAAAGAAATAACAAATGCATGGAAACCATAGATATTTTACATACATGGTGAGTTGGTTTTTATTATATTTGTTGTTTGTTTCGTACCTGGATGGTTCTTGGGATCGCTCACTTCATTCGTTTACTAATATTATGTATTCCAAATAACCTGGACAAAGGAAATGCATATGTATAGAAATAATTACGACTTTAAGGAACGAAATTATTGAATTTTTAAGTTTGTGTTAATAAGGATATTTACCTTCCTAGACACATTTTTATAGATAACATGCTACGAATGTGAGGTCCTCCCTGCGCTAATGTTATACGTTAATGGGACGAGTGGAGGATGACAGATAGGATGGGCATGAAGTCAAGTCTGTTAGCATCTTGACAAATTCACCAGCAATTAACCAAGAAGCTTTCTAGGCGGCGAACGGATAGATAAATGTTCGAATTTCCTAATTATTGTAAATTATTTATAATAATTATTAGATATAATTAACAACTGTATATATATATATATACAGTAGTATATATATATATATATTAGTCTATATAGCTATTATCTATCTGTAGTTATTATATTATTATTATTTCCCTATAATTATATATTCACCAATTATACCTTGCCCTACACCAATAAATTAATAGTGTTGTTCACAATTAATTTATTGGTGTAGGGCAAGGTATTTTACTAAATATTGACGATCTCTGGGTTAGCGGTTTAGCACACCGCTTTACTTCGAATAGTCGCGTGATCGATTCCTCCCACGAAACTAATATTTGTATTCATGAATATTATTGTTTCTATAAGTCGGGGTGTTTACTAGGTATATTATATACCTATATAATTACAAAAAAATATCTAAGTATTTCTATTAATTGTCTAGTACCCGTAAGCTCTACTTAACTCAGGACTAGATGACGCTGTTAATTGTTCAGGGTTATTATAATTATTATAATAAACGACATATAAGGTTAAAACCCTTGAATACGGATATAATATTTAACGTCCCTATAAATAGATGAAGGAGTGAAATTTCTTTGAACAATGCGGTGTTTATTTTAAATTATTATCTATTCACGAAGCATGAAACGTGAGAGAAATCCTGTGTCGGACATGGAGAGATTTGTGCTAATGACGTCTTAATGACGATGCGCTCCCTCCCTTTACCCTCACATGTTTATACACCCACTAAGGGTTACAGTAATGCTTACTGTAATTATCCGAGTGAGTAAATGTAAATAAAATACATTGTTTTCGACACTATAACATTTCAATGCCAGACTGATAGTGATAATATACATAAGTATAAGTAAAATAATATGAATTAGTAACATATACTCTAAGTACTGAAGTTTGCATTTTGAATAGATCGTCCACTTTATGGAAATTACTATCATTAAAATATAACTAGCTGATCCCGCGACTTCGTCCGCGTGGAATTTAACTGTATTTTTCTAAAATAAAAGTAGCCCAAGTTACTCCTTATTACATCAACTACCTGCCAATAAAAATCCCGTCAAAATCCAGCCATTTCAGAGATTAGCCGGAATAAACAGACAGACAGACACACAGACAAAAATTGTAATAAATGTTATTTTGGTGTATGTACCGTATTTATATTCATCTGCATGTAGTAAAAAACGGTTATTTCAATATTACAAAGACACTTACTTGCAATTTTATTATTATATTTTATAACGTATTTTATAACTTAAATTCCATGTAACCATGAACAACACAAAGGAGTGACAATTCTAAACTAAACTAACAAAACAATAAGACATAATAAGCCTTTGACAGAACATTCAAATTCTCAATTGACTAAGTAATGAACAATAGTCACTGCCAAAGCAAATTACATGGTCATAAAGTATATAGAATTCGTAGGTAAGAGTATTACAGTACAGTACAGTACTAGGTAAGAGTAATTTACAGTTATACCTTCATGAGCTGACTGTAGCCCATTCTGTAATTGGAGTCCATAGATTTTCTCTTTCTTTCCCATTTTCATCACATTAAATATAATTTGTTTTATTTTTATGTATAACGTAAACATTTTACTGAATTAAAAGTGTAAATTTTAAGCTACAATGCGCAAAAATATTAATTGTATTACAAATTTTTGCTGTTATGCAAAAATTTGTAATACAATTAATATTTTACCAGTGAATCTATTTAAATTTCTGTCAATATTTTAGGTTCAATTAACAATGCAAAAGTCATTGACATTGTTTACTATCTTTAGATAGTGTTTACTATCTTTAGATAGTAAACAATGCCTATAATTTACTATAGGTATAGTCAAAGCAATGATAATTTTTTAAACGTCTACTTTAATATGTTTTTCGAAAATATTAACTTAAATAAATTTTGCATTATTGCAACATTAAGTTTTAACGACTAAGATAAATTAAACAGAATATTGTGTAAACAATGTTACTATGGAAACATATCTTAAGTGTCATATAAAGTATCTACTGGAATACATATGATACATATGTTACTGTAATACTTGTAAATATCTAAACAGACAGTCCTTTGTAGTCAGAACTAGGAAACTTGAGTAGGTAATTGTCATCGCTCTGGAGCAGATATTTCATCATGCTTTTTATGTACACCTTTACACTTGTCGCATATTATCATGAAGTTCTGGAATAAAAGAAAATTCAAATTAGAAAACATAAACAGGAATAACAAGAAAGATGAAAATTAAGTTAGTTCGCTGTTACTTATGAAAAATATATGTTTATTTTCCACATTTACATAATTTCTATTACAACTAAAGTTGATTTCTAAGAAATCGTTCATAGTTAATTACCTAAATATGAAAATATAATAATTTTTTCTCTCTCTCTTTGACAATACGCGGTGTTTTACCAAAGTGGGATTCAAAAACTTATTATGATTCACGTGAGAATTAGTATTGTTTAAAAAAAATAATTTATCACTGCCACCTCACTACTACTCGATATGTAGATACCTAACTAAAATGACATACTCCTTCCAGACAATGAAAATCAGTATGTTCTTAAAAAAACATCTGA